AGGTGTTTAGATACTTTGATTGCATCTGTGCCCACGAACTGGTGTCCAGTGTATTATCAAAGTTCATAGTTGAGAATTGAGAATGGTTGAGATGAGATTGTTTGTGTTATTTATGAATTTTAAGACCAATTTGTGGAGAGTACGGTGTGAAATGATCTTTTCCATGACAGCATTCACAAGAAGATTATAAAGATTAGCTGGGTTTTTTTTTCAAAGAGTAAGTACGGATTTGTTAGCGTATTTTGTTTTTGTAATTATGTGATGAATTTTGCCGATGCTCTTAAGTCTTAACTCTTGAGCCTCGTGTTCATAAAACATTATTTATGTCGCTTCTTAATGTCAAAAATATTTTCAAAAATTTTTTGTTCCGTTAAAAACGAAATTCCCCGCAAGAAATCCAGTCACATTTACACAAGAGAAAAAGATATTTTATTCTTGAATTTAAAATTCAAATATGGCGGTAAAAATATTGCTCCAGGTGTTTTGAGTTCAACGGATATTATAATTTAACCTTGTATGTATGTTTAAGTATGTATAAAAACTTTATTTCAAGAGGGTAATAGCCAACAGTCAAATAGACTGATAAACTACTGGCTCTCTTATACTATATGTACAAATGTATATCAAAATTCTAAAATTATATTGTAGTATATAATTAAAAAATGATCATGCACTCAACTTTAAAACATCTATATACTTTTTGTTTAGTTAGCATGAATTTGACGTCAAGTACGTTAATTTTTGGCAGTCTGTGTGACGTGTATTTATTTGATCATGGAGCATTTTGTTTATTGAAACGCGTGCCAAAAACACCTTTGTTTGTTTTTCTATATAAGCGTATTGTAATCTGGGCTAGAATTTGTGATAAGCAAAAACGTGTCGTTAGAGTGATATAGTAGCTATTATTGATACACTGAGTTCAGTTCCTTACAAAGTTTCTTGATTGCTTGAGTAAGTTTTCTTGAACCCCATTGACATAGACGAATAGTGAGAAGGCAAAACACGCGCAAACCACTTAAACACGGGCAAACCACTTAAACATGGGCAAACCACTGGTTTTGAGGACGTTGCTCTGATGCTGCTTGTATTTTCTGAAAAAGTTTTTTGGTTTTGCTCAAATAATAATGGTGTATAACATGATATACAGAGCAAAAAGCTCTCTAAAGGGAGACTTTATTATGTATAAATCTATAACGGTGGGTGTGTGTGTGTTCTGATGTGCATTTTGTCTAAAGTGCCTGTCAGTCTGTCGCTATTGTTTTTTGAACAGCTACGTCTTTCAAAAATTTCATATCTTTCACTTTGAATGTCATTAGCTAACGATGGGATCAAAGTTTCAGATTGAAGCTCTCCTTTCTTCCTTGTCTGTCAATGTTTTTTGCTCAAATTAAAATCAATGATTTCTTCTGGTTAAGTGAAAATAGTTCTCGATCTTTTCCCACTAAAGTGGATAAATTTGTGCACGTGTTGATTGTACTAATCTTCTTAGTGCATCCATCCTTGCGTTTTGACGTATCATTAAATTCTTGATAAATGACTAATGATGTCTCAGCCTGGCAGTTCTATTTCATAATGTGGTCAGTCGTCTAGTTTTGATGTTTCTTATGTTACATTGCTATTTGTTATGGTCTTATGGCAATCGAAAAGCACTTAAAATACATCATATAACAAGTCCTAATCAAGATAACAGCGTTAAAATAGCAAAGTTCTATCTTTCAATGCAACTTTGTGTTATCATTGTGATCACTAGTCTTTATCCTGAATGGGCAATTGATAAACTGATTGTTAAGCAAATTTATTTAAGTCAGTTTTCCATCCAAAATGAATTAAAATTTCACAACATAAAAAGATTGAATGTGGGGCTCAATTTGGACTGCGCGAATGACTTGGTTTATTAAATGTTATCAATTTAAAAAGTATAAAGTCTTATAAATGAAAGAGTTATGCTGTGAAACACTGAAAGTTATCAACAAACTAAAAATGTCTAAACATGTTTAAGGCTGGTTTAAATTAAGTCAAATAGGCCGAAGTTGTTTGAAACTTTGTACTATCCTTTGATATTATAGTTTATTCTACGGGTAGGACTCTTGTAAATAAAAGTAAAACTTTGAAAATAGAAAATCCCGTTTTCGTTCTATGTCTCCCTATACTCCGGTGCAATGTTTTACTCCCAAAATTTCATTTTCAGGATAATGAGAAATATTCCTTTTGCGCAAGAGCGAATTATTGTATTCGAAGACCCATAAACCTTATAACTACTGCACAGAAATTTTTATTTCATATTTTATATTTTAAATGAAACCAAAGTTTAGTGGATTTAGAATATATAGCTCATAATGATAAAGTTGTTAGCTAGTTTGTTTTAAGTAAATACAGGTGAAAACTGGAGTAAATGCATGAGTAAAATTTAATTATTCAACAGTTCCGATTTTAATATTAGCTACACTAAAAGCTATATCAGAAATGAAAGATTTTTAATTATCATTACAAAATGCGTTTATTATTTCGCGCAAATTTCTTTGTTATTAAGTGATATGCAGAAATGACAGGTGTTCTTTGACAACTTTTCTGAAACTGTTTATGATGTCGAGTTTATGTTTGTGTCGTTTTGTAAAATTGTTTTTGTTATTGGATATTGATAATATATTTTTTACCAAAATACTTTTGTCTATAGAACTATACATTAGGATTGATGTGAATTGTGTAAAATTGTTTTTGTTATTGGATATTGATAATATATCGTTTTGTTGTACATTGATAATATATTTTTTACCAAAATACTTTTGTCTATAGAACTATACATTAGGATTGATGAGAATTGTGTAAAATTGTTTTTGCTATTGGATATTAATAATATATCGTTTTGTTGTACATTGATAATATATTTTTTACGAAAATATTTTTGTCTATAGAACTATACATTAGGATTGATGAGAATTGTGTAAAATTGTTTTTGTTATTGGATATTGATAATATATCGTTTTGTTGTACATTGATAATATATTTTTTACCAAAATACTTTTGTCTATAGAACTATACATTAGGATTGATGAGAATTGTGTAAATATGTGACTTGTAAAAGAATAAGACATTTTTATTTCTTTTATTGTTTAAACCCTGTGAAGACGTTTAAAAGCTCAAAACTTCGTACTTAAAGTTTAAAGCACAGTTTCTAATGATACAGGGGTATGGAGGATTGTCATAAATTTCTATTAAGTCATTACAGAATTAGATAACTGGAGCTCAACTCTTCACGTCATTGCTACTGTTGCTGGTACTTCTTTCGCAGGAGAGGATGGAGAGGTGACAGTACTTCTCTTGCAAGAGAAGGGTTGGTGGTGGTGCTTGTACTCTCTTGCGGGAGAAGGGTTGGTAGTGGTGCTTGTATTTCTCTTGCGGGAGAAAGGTTGATGGTGGTGTTTGTACTTCTCTTGCGGGAGAGAGGTTGGTGGTGGTGCTTGTATTTCTCCTGCATTAGAGAGGTTGATGGTTGTGCTTGTACTTCTCCTGCGTTAGAGAGGTTGATGGTGGTGTTTGTACTTCTCCTGCGGGAGAGACGTTGATGGTGGTGCTTGTACTTCTCCTGCGTTAAAGAGGTTGGTGGTGGTGTTTGTACTTCTCATGCGAGAGAGGTTGGTGGTGGTGCTTGTACGTCTCCTGCGTTAGAGAAGTTGATGGTGGTGCTTGTACTTCTCCTGCGTTAGAGAGGTTGATGGTGGTGCTTGTACTTCTCCGGGAGAGAGGTTGGTGGTGGTGCTTGTACTTCTCCTGCGTTAGAGAGGTTGATGGTGGTGCTTGTACTTCTCCTGCGTTAGAGAGGTTGATGGTGGTGCTTGTACTTCTCCTGCGGGAGAGAGGTTGGTGGTGGTGCTTGTATTTCTCTTGCTGGAAAGGGGGTTGTATTGGTGGTACCAATACTTCTCTTACGTGAGAGGAGGGTGGTAGTGCTGCTGGTATTTCCCTTGCAGTAAAGGGGATATTGGTGGTGCATGTACTTCTCTCGCATGAAAGGTGGTGGTGGTGGTACCAGTACTTCTCTTGTGGGAGAGGTAGTTGTATTTTTTTTCTGTCAAGTGTTCTCTTGTTGCTTAAAGACTTTGAAAGGTATTATCCAAACTAAGACCAGCCCGAATCCATTTAGTAAACTCAAGCTGTTAAGAAGCTTGATGTCTGTGTTTAAAAACACTTGATGCTTGATGGTATAAATATAGCTGTGCCATAGGAATGATGTACTGGCAGTAAATCTACTTTGAAACTTGAAGAATTGGACGTCAAGCTTCTCTCGGGCTGTTGTGTAAAGTATGAAAGGGTTGAAATATGGCCTTGTTCTTTTCTTCATATTGTGTTTTTTTTCTTCCTGCTGTGCAAAACCAAAATGGTTGTGGTTGAATGGCGAATCTTTGGAGAATCCAATTGAACTGGAAAACAAAAAGGAAAAGCGTCAGCTGCGTCACCATATGAAAAAAAGATGTGTTTATTCTATGGCAACAATGTGTCAAAGAAGACGTTCAAAAATCTTTATGGACAATAAATAAATGTATTCATTAAAGTTTATTGTTCATTGTTCGTTTATTATCAGCTTATTCTATCAAACACTAAAATTATACAAATATAATTGTATGAAAATATAATGTGTATGTGTGAATTTTAAGACTATGCTCATTTCTGCCTTCCTCTTTTAGCTAGTGCAGATAAAATGCTACATATTGATAAATTGTTAAACATACCTTTTCTTGCAAACTATAAAGTATAATTAAAAACGATTCTGCCTGAATATTCAAATACATGCTGATTGCTGACCATGCTGTTTTATCAATGAAAAACGTTCTGCCATTTTGAAAGAAGTTAAGTCTATAAGGGCAACTTGCTTTTTCTTGTGAAATTTTCGATGCAACAAAGCTGCCACGTTTTACCTGTTACACAAAGCTTCAGCTCACGCTAAATTCAATGTAGAGAATTTCTTCCTAAAGATGTAAATAAGCAGCAAGAAGGATAACGTATTATTAGATACGATATTGTACTATGTTTTGATGTGGTTATCAAAATAGTTTGTTGCAGGCAAAATTGGCTACAAATACAAACATTACACTAAAAATTACACAAAAGTATAACTACAAATTCCACTAAAGTTTATGTTATTACCTATATTAAAAAAATAATCATATATATTTGTAATCAAGTTATATATGATCAATGCATATTAATCAATGCATATTATCTACAAAGCAATCGTTTCATCAGCAGAACGGAACGAGGTTGTCAATTGCTGTGCTGTATCAGTAGAAATATAACTGTTCTTTTTAAACAACGCCTTCAGACTGTTTCGATAATCGGGAAGCGTCAGTGCATACACAATTGGATTGACTGCAAAATTCACCATGGCAACTGGTTTGTAGTAGTAAGAAAAACGCCAAGCCAATTCACCTTGTATTTTTCCTAGCCTTTGAATAAACTCCACTTGTTTGGCGACAAAATAAGGAAATGCAGTTACCAGTAATAGGATATTTAGCAAGATAATTGTCTTTACCATTTCCAGATGTTTTCTATTGTGCTGTTTAGCATTTACTGTCGTGTTTTGTCGATTTTGCCATACTATTATAAGTATTAAACACTTCCCAATGACCAAGATCAAAACAGCAATCTCCAAAACAGCATATAGCGTGATATAGGTGTACATAAGCTGTTCAATTTTCTTGTTGTAAATTGATGTGAGTTCACCAAATGCCACGCAAATGGCAATCGACCAAACAGTCGCACATAATATGTATATCTTTCTGGTAGACAACATCTGTCGGCTACGTATGGGATACTTTGCAATCATGTAAGTTTGCCATGTGAGTGATGTCAAGTGAAAAAATGAGCCCGCAGCCCCAAACATCCAAAAGGAAAGGACAGAATAAATGACAGCTTCTGATGGTTTGACCTCGAACAATCTACCCAATCCAACAATCATGAATTGAGACAAAGATGCAGTGAAATCAGCTATAGACAAGCTTAAGATGGTAATCCATGGTCCTCGTCTTAGCTTGTTTAAAGGATCCTTCACAATAGCAACAATAAGAAGACCATTTGTTAGGACACCAATTGTGGAGACCACCATCGTTGTTATTAATGTTTCTTGGCCAAGTGAAAAACTCTTCATGGGTTTCATACGAAATATAGAAAGAGGAAAAGGCGTCAAATGTTTTCATATACATTCATAATTGCACATTGATAAATGGTAATTTTTACAGTCGTACACTGAGAATCATGAACTAGTTGATTAATGAATTTTCTTCGCTCATTACTGTGAAGGCACTCTACTGAAGCAACTAGAGAAATTGATTTACATAACACATTAAAAATCTACAATTGTGGATAGATCTTTTCCTGTAAGAATCACTTTGATGACGCATACGTTTTATTCAAAATCGTATAAATAGTGAGAGCGATTTCAAACATTCAACGTTTTGTGAAAGGATTGATATTTGAAACTGGACTTTCAGCATTTTTTAGAAGTCTGGTTTGTATAAGCAACTTGAGAATTTTTTTATGCCTACCACATTGTCGCCAACGTACGCATTTTAAAGTTTGAACATCTCCTAGTTCTTAATTGTATCTACACATGTTTAACGTTTGTACTATGAGATAGTGATAAGATCTGTAGAAAAAATAACTGCAGTAGATTATATACATACAGCACTTTGATTGCGTAAACCAGATGAATTCCTTGAGTTATTTATATGATTTGGTTGAGTCGAATTGCGCGTTTCTAAAAAATCACCAGCATTGGTCACAGGATATACTTTCATCAAACTTGTAAGAATAAGGAATCCGTAAATAAAGGAAGGATAGACGTTTTGGAAGTATCGTGAGAGTACCATAGTGAGATCTCACACAGTTTAATCAACTGTTCTAACTTCTAATTTCTTGTCTCTGGGATGACTGGCATTGACTGAATGGTTTAATGCAATTTGATCACTTGTATTCATACAGTCGGTATAATGTTTATGACCCGTCAACACGTATCTCGATATTTTTGAATCCGCTTTTTTTTAAATTGGCCTCGTGACGTCCACATGCATGTGGTGGATGCACATGTACATCCCATAAACGTTGTGATTTTAAGAATTCATTTCCTGTAGACGGGTGGAAACGATAATTGGCCCCACCTTTTTTTGTTGCAATATTAATATAATAATGACCCCAACTTTTTTTTGATAATTGGATAATTGGCCCCACCTTTTTTGTTGCAATATTGTCCAGAAGAAGGGGGATAGTTTGTGTAGCATTGTTATTATAGTGCAGAGAAACATTTAATTTCAGCTCTCAAGAGGCTTATATTGGCCTTACTCCCTCCCCCAAATTCCTATACGTACTTTTCGCTGGCATTTCAAATATACCAAGATGAAAATAACAAATCTTTCTTCTTTTTCCGAGGTTTTCATCTCAGCAAAGCTGCTATATTTCCAGGTACCTGATGTACGTGCTTTACTTAATTTATGGTCTCATTAAAGTATTCACAATTATTGCTCTCGCTTTTGAAGTTACGTAGAATCAAAAAAGTGATGAGTATTGTAGTAATAATCGTTATAATTTTTTTGACCACACAGTTGTTTGTCACTTTGGAATTTATTCTTCCAATAAAAACTATTAATAATTATTATATACCTCCAAGACTAACTTCTTTGTCGTCTGCTGGCCTTCTTACAATAAGTTTTGGATATCATAAAAAAAAGACTTTCGCGTTCGTCGTGTGATGCGTTCTTAACTCTTCTTCTCACAAATACTCAACTGATAGCAAAATAAAATGTCTTATATGGTATGGTAAATTAAGATCGCGTGTATGTATCTGGTGTTTTGAAACAGACAAAACAAATATTCTTCTGGGTTGATGTTGACCTCCGAAGTGGCTTAACGGCTACGTCAGACTAATTCAAACCTTGGGCTGGGCATCATGATGTTGTACACAAACTTCTCACATATACAAGAAGTACTGACAAAGAAGAAAATGAATAATTGGCTGTATATTGATGTAGAAAGTGAGACGAAGTATCCCTGCACGCGATGTATTGAATTCTACTTTCATCAATATTGCAGTGAACTGATTCACTCACCAAAATAAATTTCATCCGTGTACAGAACGTCTTGTTGTATTAAAAAGTTATGGCTTTACCAGGGCCCAGGGTGGTCTCATGTTATTGAGAATTCTTAGCAAAGTCTTTGTTGTAGGTATCTTGATTTGTCATATTTTAAAACATAAATTCGTTCAATGTTAAGAATAACGTACTAATAAATGCTATAGCAAAATTTCCTGTTTCAGCACACAATGTAAGTTTGTGCTTTGGGTCATCACAAGAATTTTTTGTGTAAGCAAACTTTTCATCATAACGCAAGTAGAATAAAAACTATGAAAATTTTATTTTGATGGTACATCGTTATTGTTTCTTTTGGCTCATATGCCTGTGTTGAAAGGATTCTATATTTAAGCTGTCCGTGCACTTGCGACTGTACGTTAGCTGCTTACACATTTTCTTTATTTTGAACAGATCAACTTACTCATTGAGCAATGGAACTAAGTTCTGTTTATACCGAAGTATTTGTTTTCCAATGTAACCACCAAATTTTTTATCGAAGCATTAAGCAAATCTGTAACGTCTCTAAGTTCAAGGTTTATTTGATTAATGATATGTACCGTTAAAAAAGTATTACACTCCTGATCTTTCTCATGAAAAGAAAAATCAAAAAGTTGGCTGTAAATTTTAGTCAGTTTAAATCTCGCTACAAATCATGATAGTTTCTTTTTCTTTCATCTTCCCTTTAAAACTATGCTAATATTACCTATACTATACCCAAATAAAAAATTTATATATTAATCATAAAGTTATGAACGATGAATGTAGTTACATCGCAAATGTTTCTTAATCGCAAATGGTCTCATTAAAGTATTCACAATTATTGCTCTCCCTTTTGAAGTTACGTAGAATCAAAAAAAGTGATAAGTATTGTAGTAATAATCGGGATAATTTTTTTGACCACACAGTTGTTTTGGAATTTATTCTTCCAATAAAAACTATTAGCACTATTCGTACATTTTTGATCAAATTGAGTTTAGAACATATTATCTATCATACAGCTTTACTAGAACTAGTACGAAATGAAAAGATTAAATTCCCTGGTTTTTGTATGGAAACAGTTCTAGTCTTTTTAAACAACGCCTTCATACTGTTTCGGTAATCTGGAAGCCTCAGTGCATACACAATTGGATTGACTGCAAAATTCACCATGGCAACTGGTTCGTAGTAGTAAGAAAAACGCCAAGCCAATTCACCTTGTATTTTTCCTAGCCTTTGAATAAACTCCACTTGTTTGGCGACAAAATAAGGAAATGCAGTTACCAGTAATAGGATATTTAGCAAGATAATTGTCTTTACCATTTCCAGATGTTTTCTATTGTGCTGTTTAGCATTTACTGTCGTGTTTTGTCGATTTTGCCATACTATTATAAGTATTAAACACTTCCCAATGACCAAGATCAAAACAGCAATCTCCAAAACAGCATATAGCGTGATATAGGTGTACATAAGCTGTTCAATTTTCTTGTTGTAAATTGATGTGAGTTCACCAAATGCCACGCAAATGGCAATCGACCAAACAGTCGCACATAATATGTATATTTTTCTGGTAGACAACATCTGTCGGCTACGTATGGGATACTTTGCAATCATGTAAGTTTGCCATGTGAGTGATGTCAAGTGAAAAAATGAGCCCGCAGCCCCAAACATCCAAAAGAAAAGGACAGAATAAATGACAGCTTCTGATGGTTTGACCTCGAACAATCTACCCAATCCAACAATCATGAATTGAGACAAAGATGCAGTGAAATCAGCTATAGATAAGCTTAAGATTGTAATCCACCTTCCTTGTTTTAGTATGTTAAGCGGATCTACAAGAATAACAACAACAAGAAGACCATTTGTTAGGACCAATTGTGGAGACCACCATCGTTGTTATTAATGTTTCTTGGCCAAGTGAAAAACTCTTCATGGGCTTCATATGAAATATAGAAAGAGGAAAAAACGTCAAATGTTTTCATATACATTCATAATTGCACATAGATAAATGGTAATTTTTACAGTCGTACACTGAGAATCATGAACTAGTTGATTAATGAATTTTCTTCGCTCATTACTGTGAAGGCACTCTACTGAAGCAACTAGAGAAATTGATTTACATAACACATTAAAAATCTACAATTGTGGATAGATCTTTTCCTGTAAGAATCACTTTGATGACGCATACGTTTTATTCAAAATTGTATAAATAGTGAGAGCGATTTCAAACATTTAACGTTTTGTGAAAAGATTAATATTTGAAACTGGACTTTCAGCATTTTTTAGAAGTCTGGTTTGTATAAACAACTTGAGAATTCTTTTATGCCAACCACATAGTCGCCAACATACGCATTTTAAAGTTTGAACATCTCCTAGTTCTTAATTGTATCTATACATGTTTAACGTTTGTACTATGAGATAGTGATAAGATCTGTAGAAAAAAATAACTGCAGCAGATATTATATACTTGCAGCACTTTGATTGCTTAAACCAGATGAATTCCTTGACTTATTTATATGATTTGGTTGAGTCGAATTGCGCGTTTCCAAAAAATCACCAGTATTGGTCACTGGATATACTGAAATCAAACTTGTAAGAATAAGGAATCCGTAAATAAAGGAAGGATAGACGTTTTGAAAATATCGTGAGAGTACCATAGTGAGATCTCACACAGTTTAATCAACTGTTCTAACTTCTAATTTCTTGTCTCTGGGATGACTGGCATTGACTGAATGGTTTAATGCAATTTGATCACTTGTATTCATACAGTCGGTATAATGTTTATGACCCGTCAACACGTATCTCGATATTTTTGAATCCGCTTTTTTTTAAATTGGCCTCGTGACGTCCACATGCATGTGGTGGATGCACATGTACATCCCATAAACGTTGTGATTTTAAGAATTCATTTCCTGTAGACGGGTGGAAACGATAATTGGCCCCACCTTTTTTGTTGCAATATTAATATAATAATGACCCCAACTTTTTTTTGATAATTGGATAATTGGCCCCACCTTTTTTGTTGCAATATTGTCCAGAAGAAGGGGGATAGTTTGTGTAGCATTGTTATTATAGTGCAGAGAAACATTTAATTTCAGCTCTCAAGAGGCTTATATTGGCCTTACTCCCTCCCCCAAATTCCTATACGTACTTTTCGCTGGCATTTCAAATATACCAAGATGAAAATAACAAATCTTTCTTCTTTTTTCCGAGGTTTTCATCTCAGCAAAGCTGCTATATTTCCAGGTACCTGATGTACGTGCTTTACTTAATTTATGGTCTCATTAAAGTATTCACAATTATTGCTCTCGCTTTTGAAGTTACGTAGAATCAAAAAAGTGATGAGTATTGTAGTAATAATCGTTATAATTTTTTTGACCACACAGTTGTTTGTCACTTTGGAATTTATTCTTCCAATAAAAACTATTAATAATTATTATATACCTCCAAGACTAACTTCTTTGTCGTCTGCTGGCCTTCTTACAATAAGTTTTGGATATCATAAAAAAAAGACTTTCGCGTTCGTCGTGTGATGCGTTCTTAACTCTTCTTCTCACAAATACTCAACTGATAGCAAAATAAAATGTCTTATATGGTATGGTAAATTAAGATCGCGTGTATGTATCTGGTGTTTTGAAACAGACAAAACAAATATTCTTCTGGGTTGATGTTGACCTCCGAAGTGGCTTAACGGCTACGTCAGACTAATTCAAACCTTGGGCTGGGCATCATGATGTTGTACACAAACTTCTCACATATACAAGAAGTACTGACAAAGAAGAAAATGAATAATTGGCTGTATATTGATGTAGAAAGTGAGACGAAGTATCCCTGCACGCGATGTATTGAATTCTACTTTCATCAATATTGCAGTGAACTGATTCACTCACCAAAATAAATTTCATCCGTGTACAGAACGTCTTGTTGTATTAAAAAGTTATGGCTTTACCAGGGCCCAGGGTGGTCTCATGTTATTGAGAATTCTTAGCAAAGTCTTTGTTGTAGGTATCTTGATTTGTCATATTTTAAAACATAAATTCGTTCAATGTTAAGAATAACGTACTAATAAATGCTATAGCAAAATTTCCTGTTTCAGCACACAATGTAAGTTTGTGCTTTGGGTCATCACAAGAATTTTTTGTGTAAGCAAACTTTTCATCATAACGCAAGTAGAATAAAAACTATGAAAATTTTATTTTGATGGTACATCGTTATTGTTTCTTTTGGCTCATATGCCTGTGTTGAAAGGATTCTATATTTAAGCTGTCCGTGCACTTGCGACTGTACGTTAGCTGCTTACACATTTTCTTTATTTTGAACAGATCAACTTACTCATTGAGCAATGGAACTAAGTTCTGTTTATACCGAAGTATTTGTTTTCCAATGTAACCACCAAATTTTTTATCGAAGCATTAAGCAAATCTGTAACGTCTCTAAGTTCAAGGTTTATTTGATTAATGATATGTACCGTTAAAAAAGTATTACACTCCTGATCTTTCTCATGAAAAGAAAAATCAAAAAGTTGGCTGTAAATTTTAGTCAGTTTAAATCTCGCTACAAATCATGATAGTTTCTTTTTCTTTCATCTTCCCTTTAAAACTATGCTAATATTACCTATACTATACCCAAATAAAAAATTTATATATTAATCATAAAGTTATGAACGATGAATGTAGTTACATCGCAAATGTTTCTTAATCGCAAATGGTCTCATTAAAGTATTCACAATTATTGCTCTCCCTTTTGAAGTTACGTAGAATCAAAAAAAGTGATAAGTATTGTAGTAATAATCGGGATAATTTTTTTGACCACACAGTTGTTTTGGAATTTATTCTTCCAATAAAAACTATTAGCACTATTCGTACATTTTTGATCAAATTGAGTTTAGAACATATTATCTATCATACAGCTTTACTAGAACTAGTACGAAATGAAAAGATTAAATTCCCTGGTTTTTGTATGGAAACAGTTCTAGTCTTTTTAAACAACGCCTTCATACTGTTTCGGTAATCTGGAAGCCTCAGTGCATACACAATTGGATTGACAGCAAAATTCACCATGGCAACTGGTTCGTAGTAGTAAGAAAAACGCCAAGCCAATTCACCTTGTATTTTTCCAAGCCTTTGAATAAATTCCACTTGTTTGGCGACAAAATAAGGAAATGCAGTTACCAGTAATAAGGCATTCAGCACAATGATTGTCTTTACAATTTCAAAGTGTTTAGTGTTGTACTGTTTAGCATTTACTTTAGTGTCTTGTCGACTTTGCAATACAACCTTAAGTATGAAACACTTCAATATGATCTGAAGTAAAACAGCGATTTCCAAGACAGCATATACTGTGATATAGGTGTACATAAGCTGTTCAATTTTCTTGCTGTAAATTGATGTGAGTTCACCAAATGCCATGCAAATGGCAATCAACCAAACTGTGGCGCATAATATGTAAATTTTTTTCGTTGATAACATTTGTTGTTTGTATTTGGGATACTTTGCAATCATGTAAGTTTGCCATGTGAGTGATGTCAAGTGAAAAAATGAGCCCGCAGCCCCAAACATCCAAAAGAAAAGGACAGAATAAATGACAGCTTCTGATGGTTTGACCTCGAACAATCTACCCAATCCAACAATCATGAATTGAGACAAAGATGCAGTGAAATCAGCTATAGATAAGCTTAAGATAGTAATCCACGGTCCTCGTCTTTTTAAAGGATCCTTCACAATAACAACAATAAGAAGACCATTTGTTAGGACACCAACTGTGGAGATCACCATTGTTGTTATTAATGTTTCTTGAGGAAGTGAGAAACTTTTCTTCGGTTTCATATTAAATACATAAATATATGTTTATTATATGTTGCAATATTTTTAAAACAAAAATTTGTTTTTTAGATGAGGAACTAAATTATAACGCTCAAATCCTGGTTCTCACTTTCGGCAAAAGTATAAACATGAGCATAACTGCAAAAGATTATCAACTGTCAATTCTTCTTATGCTTATGTTTATGTTGCAAATGATGCCCAAACTTAAAATGATGTCGTTTTACTTTAATCGACTTTTGCATAAGCTTTTAAGTTTTAGTCTTATATATGAGTTTGAGAGCATTGCCATTATTTATTTTTGTAGGAACTGATTTTTCAGTTTCCACTGTGTGTGAACTGTGATATATTCGCATAGCAAGACCAAATATACGGGCTTACTTTTACGCCACTACATAAAGTAAACATAATTTGAGGAATGTTGTAATTTTTATGTTTTGTTCTTATCAAGGCAACCAACACAAGCTTTGCTGTTTCTATGAAAATTCCAATTTCACGAGGAACAAACAATGTTGAATATCATGTAGTTGCCTAGTTCATTACACAGAGAAGATATTGATGAAAATATCATATCTCGGTACATATAAAAAAATGAGTTCTTGATATGCATGAGATATATGCAGATATTGTCATTTGCCTGGTACTCTTGAACTCTTGAAGAAAGCAGGCAAGTGAAAATGACTTGATATTGTAAATATGCATAGAATATTTACATTATCAAGTCATTTTCGTTCGTATTCGGAGATAATGGTGAAATCGTTTTATGCATGTTTTATCATACGATTATTTGATTTTGCCAAATAACTATGGATAACAATGTTTATCTTTACAGCTTACCTTGAAGCCACAAAATGCTAATTAAATGAACTGCACATAATAATTTTGCTTATTCTCAAAATGTCAAATTTCATGATAAAATACTGCATGTAACGTTGTCGAGTAATACAAAAGAGCAAACGCGTTTACGTTTTTCTCGCATGCTTGTATGTATTTCTTTGAATGCATTTCTCTTTGCAGTCAACAAAGTTTATTCTCATGACTTATAATACTTTTATATAATACTTACTTTTCCATTATTTTGCGAAACGGAGGAATTCCTTGTGCAATTTATTTGATCTGTTTTAGTCGAATTACACATTTTGATAGAATTGTCACTAGCTTTGACCACTGGCACTGGCACTGGATATACATTCAACAAACATATAAAAACAACGTATCTATAAACATATTGTACAGGTACCATAGCGTGACCTCAGAAATTGATTTTATTTAAGGAATTGTACGCCGGGTTCCACCTGTCTAAAAAAGTAATATAATTTACTTATACAAAATCTAATTTGAATTGTACAAAGTCTGGTAATTACATGAATCGATGACTAAAATTTGGTTTAAAAGGATTCGATAAACCACATGTCGAAATGTTTTATTTATCGTACTATCAACTCAAACGAACACAGGGTTTGGTAAAACGCCGTAATCCTGCTATTACAAAAAATTATTATTATATACCTCCAAGACTAACTTCTTTGTCGTCTGCTGGCCTTCTTATAATAAGTTTTGGATGTTATAAAAGAAACGACTTTCGCGTTCGTCGTGTGATGCGTTCTTAACTCTTCTTCTTAAAAATACTCAACTGATAGCAAAATAAAATGTCTTATATGGTAAATTAAGATCGTCTGTATGTATCTGGTGTTTTGAAGCAGACAAAACAAATGTTCTTCTGGGTTGATGTTGACCTCCGAAGTGGCTTAACGGCTACGTCCGACTACTTCAAAACTTGGCCTGGGCATCATGATGATGTACACAAACTTCTCACGTATACAGGAAGTACTGACAAAGAAGAAAATGGAAATTGGCTGTATATTGATGTAGAAAGTGAGACGAAGTATCCCTGCACGCGATGTATTGAATTCTACTTTCATCAATATTGCAGTGAACTGATTCACTCACCAAAATAAATTTCATCCGTGTACAGAACGTCTTGTTGTATTAAAAAGTTATGGCTTTACCAGGGTCAAGGTTGGTCTCATGTTATTGAGAATTCTTAGCAAAGTCTTTGTTGTAGGTATATTAATTTGTCATATTTCAAAACATAAATTCATTCAATGTTAAGAATAACGTACTAATAAATGCTATAGCAAAATTTCCTGTTTCAGCACACAAAGTAAGTTTGTGCTTTTGGTCATCACAAGAATTTTTTGTGTAAGCAAACTTTTCATCATAACGCAAGTAGAATAAAAACTATGCAAATTTCATTTTGATGGTTCATCGTTATTGTTTCTTTTGACTCATATGCCTGTGATGAAAGGATTCTGAATTTAAGCTGTCCGTGCACTTGCGACTGTACGTTAGCTGTGTACACATTTTCTTTATTTTGAACAGATCAACTTACTCTTTGAGCGATGGAACGAAGTTCTGTTTATACCGAAGTATTTGTTTTCCGATATAACCATCAAGTAGCAGCCGATATTTGAAAGAAGTTTGTTGTCATTTTTTCAACAAGCTATAGAAAACTTAACAAACAAGCAAGACTCATTTTTTCTTTCAAATTTTAATCGAAGCATTAATCAAATCTGTAACGTCTCTAAGTTCAAGGTTTATTTGATTAATGATATGTACCGTTAAAAAAGTATTATACTGCTGATCTTTCTCATGAAAAGAAAAGTCAAAAAGTTGGCTGTAAATTTTAGTCAGTTTAAATCTCGCTACAAATCATGATAGTTTCTTTTTCTTTCATCTTCCCTTTAAAACTATGCTAATATTACCTATACTATACCCAAATAAAAAATTTATATATTAATCATGAAGTTATGAACGATGAATGTAGTTACATCGCAAATGTCTCTTAATCGCAAATGGTCTCATTAAAGTATTCACAATTATTGCTCTCGCTTTTGAAGTTACGTAGAATCAAAAAAGTGATAAGTATTGTAGTAATAATCGGGATAATTTTTTTGACCACACAGTTGTTTTAGAATTTATTCTTCCAATAAAAACTATTAGCACTATTCGTACATTTTTAATCAAATTGAGTTTAGAACATATTATCTATCATACAGGTTTACTAGAACTAGTACGAAGTGAAAAGATTAAATGCCCTGGTTTTTGTATGGAAAAAATTCTAGTCTTTTTAAACAACGCCTTCATACTGTTTCGATAATCTGGAAGCCTCAGTGCATACACAATTGGATTGACAGCAAAATTCATCATGGCAACTGGTTTGTAGTAGTAAGAAAAACGCCTAGCCAATTCACCTTGTATTTTTCCTAGCCTTTGAAAAAACTCCACTTCTTTGGCGACAAAATAAGGAAATGCAGTTACCAGTAATAAGACAGTGAGTCGAATTGCGCGTTTCCAAAAAATCACCAGTATTGGTCACTGGGTATACTGAGATCAAACTTGTAAGAATAAGTAATCCGTAAATAAAGGAAAGATAGACGTTTTGGAAATATCGTGAGAGTACCATAGTGAGATCTCACACAGTTTAATCAACTGTTCTAATTTCTTGTCTCTGGGATGACTGGCATTGACTGAATGGTTTAATGCAATTTGATCACTTGTATTCATACAGTCGGTATAATGTTTATGACCTGTCAACACGTATCTCGATATTTTTGAATCCGCTTTTTTTTAAATTGGCCTCGTGACGTCCACATGCATGTCGTGGATTCACATGTACATCCCTTATACGTGAGTGATTGTAAAAATTCATTTCCTGTAAACGGGTTGAAACGATGATTGGCCCCACCTTTTTTGTTGCAATATTGTCCAGAAGAAGGGGGAAGTTTGTGTAGCATTGTTATTATACTGCAAAGAAACATTTAATTTAAGCTCTCAAGAGGCTTATATTGGCCTTACTCCCTCCCCCAAATTCCTATACGTACTTTTCGCTGGCATTTCAAATATACCAAGATGAAAATAACAAATCTTTCTTCTTTTTTTCAAGGTTTTCATCTCAGCAAAGCTGCTATATTTCCAGGTACCTGATGTACGTGCTTTACTTAATTTATGGTCTCATTAAAGTATTCACAATTATTGCTCTCGCTTTTGAAGTTACGTAGAATCAAAAAAGTGATGAGTATTGTAGTAATAATCGGGATAATTTTTTTGACCACACAGTTGTTTTAGAATTTATTCTTCCAATAAAAACTATTAGCACTATTCGTACATTTTTAATCGAATTGAGTTTAGAACATATTATCTATCATACAGGTTTACTAGAACTAGTACGAAGTGAAAAGATTAAATGCCCTGGTTTTTTGATGGAAACAATTCTAGTCTTTTTAAACAACGCCTTCATACTGTTTCGATAATCTGGAAGCCTCAGTGCATACACAATTGGATTAACAGCAAAATTCATCATGGCAACTGGTTTGTAGTAGTAAGAAAAACGCCAAGCCAATTCACCTTGTATTTTTCCAAGCCTTTGAAAAAACTCCACTTGTTTGGCGACAAAATAAGGAAATGCAGTTACCAGTAATATGACATTCAGCACAATGATTGCCTTTACAATTTCAAAGTGTTTAGTGTTGTACTGTTTAGCATTTACTTTAGTGCCTTGTCGACTTTGCAGTACAACCTTAAGTACGAAACACTTCAATATGATCTGGACCAAGACAGCAATTTCCAAGACAGCATATACCGTGATATAGATATACATAAGCTGGTCAAATTTTTTTATGTAAAGTGATGTGACTTCAGCAAATGCCATGCAAATGGCAATCAACCAAACTGTGGCGCATAATATGTAAATTTTCTTCGTAGATAACATTTGTTTTTTGTACTTGGGATACTTTGCAATCATGTAAGTTTGCCATGTGAGTGATGTCAAGTGAAAAAATGAGCCCGCAGCCCCAAACATCCAAAAGAAAAGGACAGAATAAATGACAGCTTCTGATGGTTTGACCTCGAACAATCTACCCAATCCAACAATCATGAATTGGGAAAAAGATGCAGTGAAATCAGCAATAGATAAGCTTAAGATTGTAATCCAAGGTCCTCGTCTTAGTTTGCTTAAAGGATCCTTCACAATAACAACAATAAGAAGACCATTTGTTAGGACACCAATTGTGGAGACCACCATCGTTGTTATTAATGTTTCTTGGCCAAGTGAAAAACTCTTCATGGGTTTTATATGAAATAAAGAAAGAGGAAAAGACGTCAAATGTTTTCATATACATTCATAATTGCACATAGATAAATGATAATTTTTACAGTCGTACACTGAGAATCATGAACTAGTTGCTTGATGAATTTTCTTCGCTCATTACTGTGAAGGCACTCTACTGAACTGCGCACTTCATTATACGTAATGCGTTTAGGTCAGGAAAGTTAGGTCCTGACTATTTAGAAGCAACTAGAGAAATTGATTTACATGACACATTCAAAAATCTACAATTGTGGATGGATCTTTTCCTGGAAGAAGCACTTGATGACGCTACGTTTGAATTTTATATTCTTGATGGTATCGTTAAATAGAGAACTATTTATCTGGACATGCGCCTCTTAATTCTTATTCAAAATCGTATAAATAGTGAGAGCGATTTCAAACATTCAACGTTTTGCGAAAAGATTGATATTTGAAACTGGACTTTCAGCATTTTTTAGAAGTCTGGTTTGTATAAGCAACTTGAGAATTTTTTATGCCTACCACATTGTCGCCAATGTACGCATTTTAAAGTTTGAACATCTCCTAGTTCTTAATTGTATCTATACATGTTTAACGTTTGTACTATGAGATAGTGATAAGATCTGTAGAAAAAATAACTGCAGTAGATTATATACTTACAGCACTTTGATTACGTAAACCAGATGAATTCCTTGAGTTATTTATATGATTTGGTTGAGTCGAATTGCAAGTTTCAAAAATCACCAGTATTGGTCACTGGATATACTGAGATCAAACTTGTAAGAATAAGGAATCCGTAAATAAAGGAAGGATAGACGTTTTGGAAATATCGTGAGAGTACCATAGTGAGATCTCAGACAGTTTAATCAACTGTTCTAATTTCTTGTCTCTGGGATGATGGCATTGACTGAATGGTTTAATGCAATTTGATCACTTGTATTCATACAGTCGGTATAATGTTTATGACTCGTCAACACGTATCTCAATATTTTGAATCCGCTTTTTTAAATTGGCCTCGTGACGTCCACATGCATGTGGTGGATTCACATGTACATCCCAAATACGTGAGTGATTTTAAAATTCATTTCCTGTAAACGGATTGAAACGATAATTTGCCCCACCTTTTTTGTTGCAATATTCTCCAGAAGAAGGGGGAAGTTAGTGTAGCATTGTTGTTATAGCGCAAAGAAACATTTAATTTCAGCTCTCAAGAGGCTTATATTGGCCTTACTCCCTCCCCCAAATTCTTATACGTACTTTTCGCTGGCATTTTAAATATACCAAGATGAAAATAACAAATCTTTCTTCTTTTTTTCAAGGTTTTTATCTCAGCAAAGCTGCTATATTTCCAGGTACCTGATGTACGTGCTTTATTTAATTTGTGGTCTCATTAAAGTATTCACAATTATTGCTCTCGCTTTTGAAGTTACGTAGAATCAAAAAAGTGATGAGTATTGTAGTAATAATCGTTATAATTTTTTTTGACCACACAGTTATTTGTCACTTTGGAATTTATTCTTCCAATAAAAACTATTAGCACTATTCGTACATTTTTAATCAAATTGAGTTTAGAACATATTATCTATCATACAGGTTTACTAGCACTAGTACGAAGTGAAAAGAGGGAATGCCCTGGTTTTTGAATGGAAACAATTCTAGTCTTTTTAAACAGCGCCTTCATACTGTTTCGATAAGCTGGAAG